GGGAAACTATTAGCAATTTTTGAGAAGAGAAACCCAAGATGACAGCCCAAGGTCGTGGCAAAACTGAGACTAGGACCCAGGAGTCACAACTCCCAACCCTTATTGTAGTACCAATGAAGTACACAGTAATGTTTTGGTTTGGTTTTAAAGGTGAGGTTTTAGACTAGATTCCTTTTAAGACGGCTTATAGTTTGTTGCTATTTGCTCTCAGGGGGAGATGATCGTACAGGATACAAAAGCTAATCTCACAACATGGAATCCTCTCAAAGACCTGATCATCAGGGTCTGTGTGCTGAACTCTGCAGGATGCGGGCCCTGGAGTGACCTCTTCCTGCTTGAAGCCCAAGAAGTCATGGGTGAGTGTCCACTGCCTTCCCTTCACTTTGCGGAAAAAAGTCAGAAGCACTAGACTGCTGTTTTTCTCTGACTCTTACCCTTTCAGTGCTCACAGCTGACTGAGCCACATGGCTTTACACAACAGCACACTTCATCAAGCAGAGTAGAAATTAAATAATATTTAAAGAGCTGGTATAAACGAAACAGCTTCTGGCCACTACTGTGTCTTCTTTAATGGACTTTTGCTGTGCATAGTGCAGAGCAGGGCAAGGGGAGACACAATCGAAAAGGTGCAAATGAAGGTTTGAAATCCTTTGTTTAGGCTTACTCTTTACAAAAGTAAGTGTGACAGAAAACTCCTCCACTGTAGGTTCTCTTCTCTGATTTAATTTGAAGCCATTCCTGACTAGTTTCAGTTGAGCCTGATTTAAACCATGGCCACATGGGGTTATGTAATGGTTTTACTCAATGTGTTTATATTAAGCCAGTTTAGCGCTCTCCATGGAAAAGCTGAGCCACTGGCGGAAGAGGGAGATGATGGTATAGAAGCTGTACTATCCAGTCTGGACCATGTAGAAGGGTTTGTTGGGAGGGCAGAACATGCGTACGTGGAGTGCATTCCTAGTGATAAGGGGAGTTAGGCTCATCTGTGCTGGTTTGCTTGCTGCTTGTATCTCACAGTGAATGGGAAATGGGAGCCAGGCTATGGAGAAGGGCTCGATGTTATATGGGGAGATGGGTAGAAAGGAGAAGAGAATGCTGTTTGTGAAGGAAACTGTAGAACAACTAAGAGAAAGATGTTCCAAATAAAAATATGGACTGCTGATAAGAAGTCAGTGAGGTGCGGTCATGCAAAAATGCCACAGTCTCCAGAGGTTTTGTTCCCAGCACCTGCGGCAGGACAAGACAGCAACCTCTAATCTCTGATGCTGACCCACCTGCCCATGCTTTCTTCCCACTCCACCTGTCTTTTGAGGAATCACATGGACATTTATCCCTCTTGATCCCTCCACACTTAGAGATGGCACAGGGAACCTAGAGTGGGGTTCCCAGGCAAGCAGGAAGTGGGGGATAGGGGCAGAGTAACCAGGAGAGAGCTATAGCCTTACTTGCAGTAGTACATCTAATGCTGGTTTTAATGTCCACATTACTCAGAAAGGCCCTTTGGTAACCTGGTTCCTGTGATGAAGTCAGTACTGATGGTTATATGTGAGCACACAGTCACTGGGATCAAAGCCTTCAAATTATTTAAAGCAGAATGAAGAGATGCAGAGGTCTAGAGCTGACTCTACTAGAGGTTGGGCATGGGCTCCATCAATTTTTTTCTCCTGCTTTTTGCTCAGGTATTTTCTGTGGCACCCAAATACAGAGAAAAGTACTCGAAAGGATGAGAAGATCCGTTTAGAAAATGGCCAGCACTGGCAAGAAGTGCCAGGGAATGTATAGGGTTTGCATTTTACAGGGAGCTGGAATGGGATAATCCTGAAAGCACAATATTTTTGCTTGATTTTATTTACAAACCACTTCAAAAAAAGTAGCATCAGGAGTGGTGCTTGTTTTGGCCAAACGCTGTCTGAAAGCACATATATTTCTTCACAAGCATAACAGGCTGGCAATAAAGGTTTGCTGTGGAAACACTGACAGGCCTTATACAGCAGAGCTGCAGAAAGACTGCAGTTTTGTTTCAGGCCTGGTAGAAAATATAACTTGCTTCCTTTCCTAAAATAGCAAACTGGCACTGGTTGCTTTACGTGAGAAATGCCAGGGGTGGTTTCTGACCAGCTCCCAGTGCGGCAGTAAGGATGACTAAGCTTGTATAAACTTTAAGTTGTATTTGTCATCACAGCACAGCTAGTGAGAGCTCCACCCTGCTTTTGCAGACATCTTGTGCACTATTAGCAAAGATTGTTTTAATATTTTCAGAAACGTTCTCAGTAGAAAACCTCTCTCAATTGTCTAATAGCTTTTTCCTATCTGCAGTCTTCATGACTGTATGCAGAAGACTCTTGGATTATGTTCTTTGCACACTTTTGTGATATAAAACCTGCTACAGAAATAAGAAAGGGTTCTCTCATCATCAAAGGGCTCCTAAATACTCATTTAAGCTCATCTAATAATACTGTCTTCTCTCTACCTTGCGCAGTCTTAAGGCATGTGCCTGTTGGAAAAGGGGGGTGCAGGAGATGGGAGAGAGACAGAGTTCAGGGAGGAGAGGCAACTCAATCTTTACTTGGGCTGCAGCCATCCTCTCTAGCTCAGTGGCATGAGTGGGAAACAATGATCTCTGGGGCAGAGGAGGAGAAGCAGTGAATTTCAACATTCATTTCTATTTCTGATACATTTGCTATAACCTGTGCGATGGGCTCCTGATTCCTGCCAGTTTAGAAACAAGGAGAATTGTTTTATTTGGTTTTGTTTTGTTTTGTTCTGTTTTGTTTTGTTTTCATTCATCCTCCTTTTGGAGGGACCCCCCCAGAGCAGAGGTGACCTAAATCCCTGCTCTCTCACTAGGCCAACTAGCAGTCAGAGACTAGAAGAACAGGCAGAGCGAGGTTTGTCTCACCGTAGGGGGAAGAAACTTTATCCTTAACTATCAGAGAGGACCTTTTACATCAGCGTTGTTAATTGTTTCTACCCTAATTGTTTGGCAGGAACAGCCCAAGTGATTGTCTTGGGAATTGTGAAGAAGGTTGAAGTTACCTTTTGTTGTATTTTCATTCCACTTCTGTTTCTGATCCCTCTCCCTCCTCATAAGCAGCCTTGAAGGCCAGGTCAAAAGGTGCAGCAAGAAGGAGTATCATAAAACGCAGAACCTATAAAGCCTTCTGGGTAGAAAAAGAATATGTGAGTCACTGAAGGAGATAAGATGCTGGAAAATAGGTGCTAAAGCTCTGGTAGTTTGTTTCAAGTGGAGAAATACTAGTCTGCTTCCTCAATGGTCTCGAATTCTGTTTCCTTAAGCTCTACCTGTTTATTAGACTAACATTGCTTCTGTAAAAACTTGGATGATAAGGCTCAACAAGGTAACTAGCAACCAAGTCTTAGAAGCTTTTTGCCTGCCAGGACTGTGCCAGTAAGCATGTCTGACTCCTTTTCACATACATCTATGCAGACATTCATCCAAATCTCAGCCCATTAACATAACATCTCTTTTGAGGACAGGTTTACTTATACTCTCATGACATATAACATAACAGGATTACTTACATCATCAAAGACGATTCTTTCTTAGCTTCTCGTAAAACACAGTCAACTCCTGAAGGTGAGCAAGGGAGCATGAAAATGAAGGAAGTGCTTAGGGACCTGTTACCTGTTTTTGTTTGGTTTTAAAGAATTCGGAGATATGAGGGCTATCCTAGATTTTAATAAACCCATTCAAATTCACATTTAATCTTTAGTAATTGTATTTGGAGAAGAAATCTCTCAGGCAATTGGATTAATTTATCTGTTGTTTGCCAAGCATGGGTAATACTCTTTTATTCATAACCATATTGCTTATCTTCCTTCTCTGGCAGCTTACTCAGATTGGCAGCATCTCCATTTCTTCTGTAGATAGTTTGTAGTCAAAAGTATACATATTCATATTAAACCAGAATTGGAACCTGCATGCTGCCTAACCTATTTCTTGACTCACAGGGCACTTTTTAAAATTCACCTTTTCTTAGGTAGACAGACATTGAGAAGTTACAACCCACGACATTGGGAAGTTACAGCCAATATCAAGTCCCATAGGGTGCTTTTCTTTGTGGGAGGGGTGAGAGGGGAAATGTAAATATTTTAAACAAGATTTCCATGAGGCAATTGTCTTTATTGACTTTTAAAATGTTAATCTGGTTGGCATTCAGGCAGTGCTGTGTAGCCTGGTCAAGGTTCTGCTGGCTGCTTCAAACAGAACAAGGTGAAACCTGCACAGAAAATGCTCGTGTTAAGCAACCGTTTTGTCCTGAGACTCCAGTTTAAAGCACTCTAGATCATGAACTCATGTAAAGTAGTATAATCTGGAGCAGCGCCTTTTACTTTCTTGAGGCTGAAAACTAAGAATAGATTCTGATAACTGGATGCATCTGCTCTGCCTTTGCTGTGTGAAACAGCTTATTTTTCTGATGATTGACTGAGTAGCTGTTTATGCCAAATTCCAGTGTACAATGATCCACTGTGTACACCAGATCCAGCAGCATGGCTTTTCCATTTAAAAGCAAAAAGAAGAAATATCCCAGTATGATCTGTTTACCATTGACAGTCTTCTATTTCCTGACTGGTGTTTTCTCCGTCATCTAGGTGGCCAGAGACAACCTCCTTATGGGACGTCCTGGGTTCCTGTGGCATTGGGCATTCTTACAGCTCTGGTCACAGCTGTTGCCCTGGCTCTCATTCTCCTTCGAAAAAGAAGAAAGGAAACTCGGTTTGGGTAAGGGAGGTTCTCCTTGTGCTGGTTAGAGAGATGTTTGCTTTCTCCTCTAGTGTGGTTTCTGACTCAATTATTTTTCGAAAAGCATTGTGGATTGAGTACTTTTGGCACTTTCTTTGGATAAGTGTTTTTTCACAATTTTGGGCGCGATCCTGGATTAGAGACTAGCAGGAAAGTGCCCTACCTTTTCTTCCAAATGAGAACACCAAATATACAGTAGAAAAAATGTGATGTCAATAGCTGGGCTTTATTAGAATATGGAAATACAAACTAGATCAAGGTAATTCTGTAAGTCCTTAGCGCTGCTGCTTAGGAGATTCAAAGAGAAAGACCCACAGATGAATCATCTTCTGTGTTCTTCTGGGCTGGGCCCTTCATCCCATGCTGGTTTTCAGTCTAGCAGCTGCTTGTAACTTCCTGACTGCCCAGAACCCTCTGGAACCCCTGGAAAGTCTTCTTTCCACCACCTCCGACACTTGGCTGTGTGTTGTTCCTTGCTGCAAGCAAGGTTCCCATTCTTTTCAGAGTCTCCCAGACCTCCCTCTCACAGCCACATCTCTGTTTATGTGACTATTGCAACCTGCTCCAACCTGCAGCTTCTCCCAGGCACTCAGGATGAGTGATCCCCCTGTTTTGGAAGGCTCCCACCCCCTCTAGGTGCATCAGCAAGGCAGCATAAACCCATCATTCCTCCTCTCCTGCTACTCCCTCTTTAACAAAAGTCTGTAGTATTTATATGGCAAGGGATGAGAAATCATCCGTACTGTTCAACACACCTTTTTAGAAGTGAATGGCCCATGTAATCATGGCCCCGTGTGTCTTTTCTGCCTTCTAGCCATGCCTTTGGCAGTGTGGTTGGCAGAGGGGATCCAGCGGTCCATTTCAGAGCTGCCAGGTCTTTCAACAGGGAGGGCCCAGAGCTCATTGAAGCAACATGTAAGTAAAATAACGGGAGTGATTCTGCCTGAGAAGCTGTGTTCATGTATGCACTATGCCCTCTCTTTGTTTTCCCTGAAACTGATGGTTTTGGGTCAAGAACATGGGATTAATTGACAAGGAGGCTTAGACACTGTGGATAGGAGAGGTGAAAGGTCAGAATGGCTGTTGCCATACCAATTACATAGCACTTGCTAATTACAGCTACAGTCATTGTGTATATTAGTGCAAGGCATAAGTTTGCCACTCCCCTGCCCCAGTTTCACACTCCGACTGTAATGTTATGCAACAGTGAGATAAATATGGCTAAACAATATTAGCAGTACGCCTCAAACTCAGTGTGCTGAGCTGTGCTACAAGCATGAACCAATTAATCAGTCTTGGAAGGCCAGGAATTAGTAACTTCTCAAACAGGAAGCTGAGTCCCAGGAATGGCCAGAGTTAAGATGATCCATTTCTGTCTCCTGGTTCAGCAAGGGCATGGCTGTCTGTAGTAGCGCTGCATGGCTGGGTTGGGATGATGCTCCAGCTGTCTTTGACTTTGCTTCCCTGGGTTTAGAGGTCTCTCCATTAAATCTACTGACCATAAACTGTTGGACGTTATGTTACCCTCTCAGCCAGGTACTATGAGACTTGTACTGTACTTAAAATAGTCTAAGAGCCAGTCATTGAAAACTGGTGCATCTCCATCAACTTAAATGAAGCTGTATGAAGCAGTGTCTATCAGTGTCCCTTCGGACTGGATTTTGTCTTCTCAGCGTTATTTACAATAGTTCTGTATTCCTATTGCTCTTGGTGTGTTTAAGGGTGGTATTATTACACCCTCTCCCTTTCAGCACTGTTGGTACATTTTCTTGTGGTTGAAAGTTACTGGCCTCTTGTCTGTGGTGACACTAGAGGACATGGAAGGGAGCTCTGTCTTTTTCAGGTTTTCCTGTTTACAGTATGGGAATCAGATTGGAGATGGAGATTAGAACAAGTGACTCTTGATGTTGTGACAGAATATTTAAGTATCCCTTATTTGACTCTTCCTTTGTTGGTTTTTTTTCCAGTGGAGAGTGTAGGGATCAGTGATGAGCTGAAGACAAAACTCAAAGATGTCCTAATCCAGGAACAGCAGTTCACCTTGGGAAGAATGTTGGGCAAGGGTAAGAACCAAAACTGAACAGGGCTTTACATTGAAAGTCCCACTTGTGTTACCTTTACTGTTGAGTAGGGAGAAGCAATTATAAGCAGCTTGTTTTCTCTCTTTCTGCTTGTAGAGGGCAATTTAAATGTAACTTTCCCTTTTGCTGGGATAAAACATTTCAAAGGTTTAGCATAACTAAGAGGATATTGGCTAAGCCGTTCCTATAATATGGCTCTACAGTCATGAACTGCAGTCTATGCTCAGCTTTCCAAAGTACTGTTGATTCACTGGTGTGTGGATTTGTTTCAGAAATTTAAACAAAGGAATGTTCAATTAAACTTCTGCTCTTTCTACTAACAAAGTGGCGCTATAGAATTCCTTCCATTTACATAAGCACGCGTCAAGTATTAAATGGGCTGAGACAATAAAGAGACAGAGATGATCTACCTCAAACACTCCAACCCCTGAAAAAAAAAGTTGATTCAGTTTCAGATATTCTCAACATCTGAGGTTGGTTGACTCCAGGTTTTAGTTTGGTCTCTTACGGAGGCACATTTGGAACAGGTACTGACTTTTGCTGACATTTGTCCTCATTAGTTCAGGTCCTTAGGAGCTCTGCTGACTTTGGATCTCCATCTGGATCTCCCACACAGGTGCTCCTAACATTTCTCTGAGGTTTCCAGGTCAGGAGGGATGGGCAGAGTAAAGATGGGATGCTTGTCATCTGACTGTAGCTAAAAGATTGGCCCAGAAACTCTGTGTGAAAAGATGGGTTTGAATTTAGATTTCCCAAATGGCAGGCCAGTGTGCTAACTGTTGAATCATCCTTCCCTACTTCTAAGGCTGAAGGCAATCTCTAGAAATAAGTGAAAACGTGTAATAACACCAATAACTAAGAGACGAGCATAAGTCAGGGGTCACAGGCAAAAGGAAGCTGAAGTGTTTGGCTTCCTTTTTCTTTGTAAGACTAATTTTATTGCAATTTTCTTTGACCCTTTCCCACTGGGAGCATTCTTCCGCTCCATTCCTCTTAGAACAAATGTGGTTCTTTCAGAGCAGGAAGATGAACTTCCTGAAAAAGTGGTCTCAGAGGGCTTAACAATGCTAGGTAACTAAACAGCTGCATCATCTGTTTGTGAGTGTCAGCTCTTGGCCGGTTTCTGGGATCCTGCTTCAACCCTTCCGGGCTGTCCCCATGACAGGTAGCAAACTGGGAATCGGCTGCAGAGGGGCCACTGGGGATGGCCTTGGTGGGAGGATGCTAGCTGGCCACATTTCATCTGTGTTGTCAGCCTGTTCCCGCAACCCCACGCTCAGCATACAGGTTATAAGATGGCATGAATGCTTTATCTTGGGCTCTGCTGACTCTACAGCTGAGTGGCAGGTCCATAATATGGAAGCAGTACAAAATGCCTTTGCTCTTTCTCATTTTCCTCTTTTGTGGTCAGATTCACTGCTCGTGGTTGTTGTGAAATAAGCATGTGCCATACAGTAGCGACAGGCACGGGTGAAAAGCTAGTGGAAAGATAATGCTTTTGGGGTAGGTGTCCCGAGTGGCATATTTTGCTTCCTTCTTTTCAGTACCAGAGTTCCTCATACTTATGCATCTTGGGTGGGGTAAGCAGTTATAAAATTAGGGAGAGCAAATCTAGAGCCAGATGTAATACAAAGAGTCTGTTATGCTGTGGTATAAAGCCACTTCAGGCTAAAATAATTTGAAGAGGGTTTGGCCACTTGCATTTCCTCTTATCTCCCTCAGAGAACACACCAGGGTAAACACTTCCTCCTGTGAATTAGCATATCATGCACACACAAGTAGGTGTTCTATGTTTTGTCTGGTCAGCTGTGATTCATAGAAGTCATTCCCTGAGTTTTGAGACATAAGGCCTGATTGTGTCTCAAATGGCTGAGTCCTGGCACCATTACTCAGTTCTGACAGCTGTCAGCACTGAGAGCTTCCTCAGCCAACCCATACACTCGTCGCTCCAGCTAATAGCCTCCTCTCTGACCAGAGCCCACTCAGACTCAGCCCTCGTGATATGGCTTCCCCAGAAATGTATGCCTGGGATCCCAGCTTATACTCTGACTCTGCATTGTCCATCTGGTAGAGGATTGCTTCCTTTCCCTCTTGTTTTCCTTTGCCTTCTGGACTGCCAGCACAGCAGCATCTGTCTACTGGTAGTGCCACCTCTTCTAGGCACATGTATGCTGAAAGCTGCTGGCTGGAACTGCAGAATGAAAAATGTAGCTGGTGACTGCATTTCTTATGGTTATTCAGCTTCTTTGCCAATGACCCCTGGAGTGAACCTGCTGTGAATCATACTTTGTTCACAAGAACCTGTTCCCTCACTGCCTGCTCTGGTCATTTCACAGGGGAGTTTGGGTCAGTTCGAGAGGCACTACTGAAGCTAGATGATGGCTCTTTCCAGAAAGTGGCAGTGAAGATGCTGAAAGGTAAGTGGAAGCAGGGCTATCCGAAGTACTTAAGAGAGCTTGGAAAGATTAAATGCTATCTGTCCTGTTTTCCTGCAAACATCCCCTGATGCTCTTTACTCCTCTCTGAGCTTCCCACTCAGCCACTCTAACCATGTTGTCTTTCATCCCTTTCATGTCAGTCTTTTTGTAGTGGAAGCTCTTCAAGGAAGAGCACCGTAGTTGCTTGTACAGCACCTTGCATGTGGTGAGTGCAACCAAAACCAAGTCATAGCTACAGCTTCTGTGTATAGAGGATCTCGTTCAGTTGCTTGATTCACCACAGCACTACATCATGTGGCGTAGACAGCTCAGACAGGTCGGCTTTGCCGTAATAATTCAGCAGTGAAAGACGATATTCCTCCAAGCATATATCCTAGAATAAACAGAAGAGTGTTTGGGCTGAATGCAGTGGCAAGCTAAGTCGTCTCAGTCAAGCATATTTGCCTAAGTAGTCCAACTCCCTTCTGATTTGTCATCTGATGAGTGTATATAGTAAGGGCAACTAACACATTCATCAGACAGGAGTCTGTAACAAGAAAAGCAGTTAATAAATAGATACAAGTCAAAGCAAGTATGTGCATATATGTATGTGTATATATATATGTTAACCTGTGTTGTTTCACCCCTGTTGCCTGTAATGCAAAAATTAACTGTCGCTGACTTAAAGTAGAGTCACACTCACTTATCTTTGGAGCTGAGTTTGGCTGCCACAGAATACCAGTTTGTACTAAATATACTAATACCACATTAATGTTAAGTTGCATCATTTTCTCCAGTTTAAACAATAATTCTAACCAGTTTGCAAGATTTTGTGTAGTCAGACTGTCTGCCTTCAGGTATCTAACTTGGGAACTCTGTCACCCTCCAGAGGCACTTTCCTTTCTCCATTGACTGTAAAAAGAATCTACTTCTGTCTTCTGAATCATATGCAAATTACTTGCATAAAGCAGATAATGTGAATACTCCCCTACAGGTCTGAGTCTGATCTTGTAACAGGACTGGAGGACTACCACTAAATTCAGCAGCAGCAGTGGGGGAAGTAGTCCACTGGACTGATTCTTGATTATATTGATACACTTCCATCAATCTGGAGTAAGAGCAATGAGAAATAAATTACTCCAAATTTATGCTGATGTGAGTCACTGCTGAATTTGGTCCAAGCTCTCCAGTAATGTGATTATTTAAGAAATCTTAGCTCTAGCACCTTAGAAGACTCAATCATGCTGAGACATAAAAGTGTGCTTGCTGCCACCCATCCCAGGAGAAAGTGTCAGGCTCTGCTTTGTTGTAAACTGGCTCATGTAGCTGTAGGTCTGAGAGGATGTGCAGTGCCACAAAGAACAAGCTTCTGATAATCATTTATCTGTAATGTCCCTTGGAAGAAAACTTATGGTCACTTTTTTCCAGCTGACATCTTCACCTCGACTGACATTGAGGAGTTCCTGCGAGAGGCTGCATGTATGAAGGAGTTTGACCACCCGCATGTCACTAAACTGATTGGTAAGCCAGCGCTGCTGCTTGTAGTGCCACAGAGCAACTCCCGAAGCTGCACAGTCCCACGCAGCCTCACGTACTCACCCCCGCTGCTGTCCAACAGCACTGTTAGTGCAGCCACTTCTGTGCTGCCTGGAGTCCTACATATATCAGCATTGCTCCTTCCCAGGCCTAGAGGGAGTTGGAGTGTGTGTCAGTGCTCGCAACACTTGCCTTCATACACTGACAATAAGCATCTCTTAATAAGCCATTTCTTTGGTTCTTGCAAATACTACAGAGAGAGTTTGGCTGGCTGAGAAATGTCTGAACTGCTGTGAAATGCGGACAGGTGGGTCAGTAGACAAATAGAGTGAGGGGAGAGCGTGCCTTTCCAAAATACTGGGTAAGAAGTAAGACGTTGTGGGGGGGGGCCACTATGGAACATGGGCAATTTCCAGAATGTGGAGACTGCTCTGCAGACCCCGAGGTTTGGAGCTGTCTGATCTGGAATGATCCTAGAAACATTTATAGTCTGTCCTGCAAGGGACACTGGGCACTTAGTACTGCCTCTGAAGTAAACAGGGTTAGAGGTACCTTAACACGTCCTGGCATGAAGCCATGCAAAGGAGCTTGGAGCATGGAACTGACCCACCAAAACTGCACGTTTTCTTCCAAATTTGTAAGAGAAAGGCACAGCAGCCTGTAAGATTCCCCTTGGGACTGATCTGTTTGCTAAAACCTCTTTGCTGTGTGTGTCCTCGTTAGGAGTCAGTCTACGGAGCCGTCCCAAGGGTCGCCTCCCAATTCCCATGGTGATCCTGCCCTTCATGAAGCATGGAGACCTTCATGCTTTTCTGCTGATGTCACGGATTGGGGAAAACCCTTTTGTAAGTCTGTCTTACTGTATAATTCCTTCTGGGAGGGTATGGATTTCCAGAGAATGTACTCAGAACAGTTCAGGGTTGGTCTCTCAAAGGCATTGGCAGATGTCCAGATTTTGATACTAGAGGAAGTTGTGGGATGTGATGTTGAAGTATTTAATTCCATGCATGTTGAGGATCAACTTTTCCATTCCATCCCCTCCCTATATCCCCCATCCCTGCTCAGTAATCTAGAAGCACATCTTGCAGTTTTGCCATACATGCTTGAAAGCTTCCAGGATCAGAACTTAAACTGTTATTTCTTTCAGAACTTGCCTGTTCAGACACTCCTCAAGTTCATGATTGACATTGCCAGTGGGATGGAGTACTTGAGCTCAAAAAATTTCATACACAGGGACCTTGCAGCTCGGAACTGCATGTAAGTGACCCATGAGTTTTTAGAGAAAAGAGGGACTGGAGTGGGTGAGAGAGGGATGAGAAGCCTTTCACATGACAGAAGTGAGGAGGGATCCTGTCTGAGCATGCTGGTCCTTGCATTTAAGTGACAGTAGTCATAGGGGAGCCATGGCCGTGGGGGTGGTGGTGCGTGGGGGTGGTGGTGCTGGGAGCAGGGAGCAACTCCTAATGTCCCACTGAGCTTCCAAATCAACCCTATTTATAAGGAACTTTTCCATCATTGGTCTGCACGTATATTTTCATAGGGTTGATTACAATATGTGGTTGTAATTAGTCACTCTAGTGACTGTGTGTCAGCATGGGCTATTTGTTCCACAATATAATATAACCAACAGGAAAAAATAGGTTTGGCTGGGTTAGGAGAAAGGAACTTTCATCTGTATTTCTTGTGTCCATTTTGAGGACTTGATTATCACGATACAAGAAATGTAGAATTTCCCTGAAAGCTTGTGAAGAATGGCTTATGTGGAGAATGCCTTTAGAAGTAATTGCATGGTGAACACGTTTATGATCCCACATTGCTGTTCTTGTCCCCAAACTGCCTTGCCTGCTTTGAAGGGAAGAAAAGTCCATTTTTTATCCTTTCCCCTCTGCTTCTTCCCTGAGAATGGAGTAAGTAACAACCCATTCTGGCGGACAGAACTCTGCCTCTGAACAAAACCACGACAACTGGTAAAATCCGCAGTGAGACACAGATTTCCAAAGGCATTTCAGTGTCCAGATGTACAGACAGGAGCCTGATAGTCATAATGAAAAATGATGGGTTAGCCTGCTTTGACATTTGTGAGAAACGCACACTGATTTTCTATTTTTAAACATTTAAAAAAATACAGACTTCCTTCAGAGGAAGTTGAATGCCTATTTCATCATATCTTCTGGGAAAAGCAGGGAGTCTTTTATAAGACCTAGGAGCATGAAGTCTTTGTGGGCTTTATTTATGTGTGCTATCTACCAATGTGTCTGGGTGTAAGTGGGTGACAGAGCAATTCAGACCATTAACCAGGCCTGGAGAGAACATCTTGCAGATCTAGTTTGAGCAGTTGTAGTAGGCAGTCTAGGCAAGCACCTGTGGTTTTTTATTGCCTATACAGGGTGTAGGCCTTAGTGGTAGCAATGAGCACTACAAATGTCCTCTGTTAATCTTGGAAACTACAGGAAGCATCTGAGTTCGCTTTGGCTGACAGAGTATACCATCTGAGCATGGCCATTTCCTTACTTCCATAGTCCTAATTATCTCCATTAGTTTCAAGGAACTGATTGGGACCACTAAACTATTTTGCTTCGGTCATCAAGTAGGTTAAGTCATTATCCTTCTGGGCAATACTTGTTGAACTATATACCTCAGTTCCCTGGCCGGACAGGGACATACCTCTTTTTTTGCCTGAAGTAGCCAGTAAGTGCTTTTCTCAGTCATTAAAACTTTTCCTTAGGTTGGATGAGAACATGAACGTGAGTGTTGCAGACTTCGGGCTTTCTAAGAAAATCTACAGTGGAGACTACTACCGTCAGGGCTGTGCTTCCAAGCTGCCAGTGAAGTGGCTTGCTCTGGAAAGTCTGGCAGATAATCTGTACACAACACACAGTGATGTGGTGAGTTTTGCACTGGTGCATTTGGGGATCACCTGTATTCCTGACGAAGTGGAGAAATCCTTCTGTATTCGTTGAGGGTGGAAAAAGGCCCTGGTGATGGGAAAGGGAGTTTACCTTGTGTTTGAGGGACAGTGCCACCTCTGCCTTGGGTGCTTGCAAAACTCAAGACTGAAGATATGTACGAGTACTTTATGGCAGAAGATATGAACCCTCTTCCTCTTGTCCTTTGGTCCTTCGTTCTTCAGTGCTTATCCCCACCCCCTCCTTCATCTTTCCCCTTCTCGTTTTCCTCTGTCTTTATGCAGTCTCTTCTTTCTTACTCTTAGTCTTTTTCCATTCTCTTCTGAAAGACACCTTGAAGGTGACATTTGAAATGCATGTAAGCCACACACTCATGTACAAGTGCAGCAATGGTACTCCGTCCTACAGAAGGCATTGGTGGAACTTCTTAGACTCTGAATATATCAGTGCTTAGACACTCCTCCCCATAACTTTGCCTGTGGAGAGTGAGGCTAAACCCATTCATCTGAAATGTTTGCTTCCTTTCCCTTTTTTTTTTTCCCTCTGATACATTCTCCTGTCTTCCTTGCTGCCTTCTGATCTGGTTTCACACTAGTTTTATCCTTCAGACCTGTGGACTTGCCTTCCCAGTTATGCATGTCATGGTGTCTCCGAAGAGATCACCAAGAGCGCCTTCTAACTTGGCTGCTGTGTTGCCCAGTGACTGCTGTAACCACTGTAGACAGTGTTTAGTGATTAATGATGGCCAGTTCAGCCAGTTTACAGTAGAGAGAGTTTTGCTTATGAAAATCAGAACTTTTTGCACCTAACGAACCTTGCAGTTTAGATTAAAATGTACAAGTATGACTGTTGCAGTGCAGAGTACAAATGAATGTGAGCCATAAGTGGTTTGTTCCTTGCCCTGCTTTATTGGCTAAATTCTGATTTCATTTGTGCCTGTACATTTCCAGTAACCCAGAATCTGGCTGAATGAATTAAGCAGCTGATTTGTGAGCCTCAACCCAAAATCTTCATGTAGCTGCAAACCACAAAATTGATACTGCATGCCTTAAAAAACCATGAGTAGGAGATGCTTGGGAGAAGTCTGCAGGTGGAAGACAGCAGTAGCTCCCAAATCCTCCCCTCGTCCACTGCAGGTTGATGCTGAGCAGGGCCCTCAGCTGTCTCCCAAGATGATGTGTCAGGATCGGCTGGGTCATTTCTTTGTTTTCTTGCTAGAAGTTGGATAGTCCTTGCATCACTGCTACTCATATGACATTACCCCAGGCTGTGAGGTTCGGCGCAGTCTGAGGATGCTGAAACCCCACCCCAGCAAGCAGGGAACGGTCTGTTCACTTGTTCTGTGTGCTCTTCCCTTTCAGTGGGCGTTTGGGGTGACCATGTGGGAGATTGTGACCCGAGGGCAAACCCCTTATGCTGGCATTGAGAATGCAGAAATCTACAACTACCTCATCAGCGGGAACAGGCTGAAGCAGCCACCGGAGTGCCTGGAAGATGTGTGAGTACTTCTTTGCCCTGCTGACATGTGATTCCTTGAGAAGTTTGGCTCACTGGAAGGAGCCAGGGGCAGCTGGCTGCAGCGCTGGGCTGAATCTATCCACTTTCCAGTACACAGAAGCATTCACTAGAAAGTCTCTGGGTTAGCTACCAGATACTCTCTGCTGGCACAGCTCCCTGGAACCTGTGGTAGATACGCAAGCAGCTAACTTGGCTCAAGGGTTTGAACAGTGTCAACATCAGAAGCTCTTGGCTTTGTGAAACTATAACTGTGTTTCCAGAAACTCACTGCTCCCTACTTTCTCAGGCCAGCATCTGAGAAAAGAGATGAGTTTCATGGCACATCTGAAGGCTGAATAGAAAAGCAAGCTAGCAAGACTACAAGGAAACTGGATTGCAGAGACAGTGGCCTGCATGTGTCTTTCAAAGCTGGGACCAGTTTTCAAAATTGGATCTACTACTCTCACAGAAATAGCAAGGTGAAAGAAAAGAGGGGAGATAGGAGGATCTAAGGGTCTGTAGATTAGTGTCCCACCTGAAATTACAGGTGGAAACAAAACCAGGACATTCTTGCAGATATCGGTTTCAGATATTTTCAGACTTGCAGGAAGGACTCGGGTAGCCCGCAGAGGAGCAGGCAGCTACATTCTACAGGCTGTACTCCTGCATTAGTCCTGTGTCTGAGGGACTGTTCTTGGTCAGCAGGTTACGTGAAATGTGTGCGCAGAAACCCTTGCTCCCTGGGTGGTGGCTGCAATAAGTTTCCTAGAGTCCACAAACAGGACTGAGGTCCACCAAGGAGTGTCACCATCACTTCTCCCAGGGTAAAAGCTTGCCTAGTCCTGGCTGTTGCAGATGGAGTGGTAGAGATGTACTTCACTCACAAGAGAGAAGCAGCAATGTAT